TAAGGAGGCCTTATCGCGCCTAATTGGCGCGCGGCCCTGCGGGCTCCGCGAATCGCGCGAGCCGTGTCGTTCACGTATCTTGTGTCCTGGCGCACGGAATTCGACTGGGTCGCAGAGTTTCCTTCGGCCACTTAGGAGACTTTTCCGGATCTTTGTTCTGCGGGAGACTCACATCTTGGTGTCGGTGTTCCAGTAATCGGTATCTTCGCTACTTTTCAGAGAAGATCTCCGCAAGCTCCGTCATGGAATCTCTCGCCGACACTTGGGCATAGAATGGCCATCCCCGGCTGCTACCCTCGTGATCCCTCCGCCATGCGTCTATAATATGGTAGAACATATTTCAAAGCGAAAAAATATCGAAATGTACAGCGATATTACCTGCGTGTTATCCATCTTGTAGAATGCTGGGCAATCCTCAATCGCTTCTCTTTCGATTCTCGGCCCTGGCTGTCTCTTCATCTATAGTCTGATGAGACGACGCAAAATTCATAAGCTCTCAAGGGGAGGCGGGGGCGATCGCCAATTATTCTGTAAAACTCGCGATGCTCTAGCACGAAAGAACGACAAACCAATGCAGAAAATTTTCGGGACGCACAAATAAACAAGACAAACATGAAATAGATAAGATAACGAACTAAAAGAGTACGCAGTATATCTGCTTTATGAAAAGTGGAAGAATCCAGGACGCCGGAGCTGCGCGATTCGGCCGGGTCTTGGCCGAATCGCGCAGCTCCGGCATCCTGGATGGTCACAACCCTTGTGACGGACGGAAAACGTCACGTCACAGTACATACAATTTCATGATGTCGCTTGTCACAGCGATAAATAATCACATGACTGAATTTTCTCTCAATTTGTCCACTTGTCACCAACGACACCGTTGAAAAGTTGGATTAATCCAACTTTTAGCGACATCGCTCTTACGCAAAATATGGAACAGAATGTAAAGCCGGCGGCACACAATGCTTGTTGTCCCGCTGGATTGCTAGATGCATAATTGATAGCATCGCAGTCATTATGGTGGCAAGATTCTAATCCAGCTAACAATCCAGCAGAAAAACAAGCATCGTATGCCGCAAGCTTAAGTATAATAAAGGTATTTGACATATAAGATCCATCCATAAACTTTTCTATATGCTAGATTAGGTAGAACATCATGAGAGGCAAAATATCGAGACAATCTTCTCTGCGCATTCTGACATTTATATCACTGAAAAAGATAAAATAAGTAAAATAAAATAAGTAAAAGTAAGAGTAATACTTAAGAATTCTATCATTGTCACAGATTTTGATGAAATTAAAACAGAAAATATTTATTCTAGCTTCACTTACATGTTCTCATGTTTCTATGCCATCGATGTGGCAGATTTCCTAATCTGAATAGTCGTTAACTTCACTGATTAATATCTCTACGGGGCAGAGCGTCACTTTTTTTGCCAGATTTGTTCATTTCGTTCAAAAACGCATCGAATGAATCTAATCTAATTTCGTCAAAGAGAGGAAAGATCAGAGAGGAAAGTAGAATTCTCGAGTATTATCAAAATAAGTTTACTGTCAGGATGTGCACACAGAAAAGGATAAGTTACTCGATATTTTGCTTCTCGTTCTGCCAAATTCAGGTATATATATCTAATGTTGGGTCTTATATGTCTATAGTATTTACTTAGCTATATTTACTAACAATAATAAGCTATATTCTAAAATATCCTTTCCGAGGAAAATTTTATTCGAAATAGGATGTAATGTATACTACAATATTTCGAATAACATTTTTCTCGGAAAGGACATTTTGGAATGTAGCAAAAAGTATGTAGCGGCTTCGAATATGGATGTCATTACAAAATGTATTGTTTGATATAATATATTCCTTCGATACGTTTCATTCGAAATGAGAGAATGTAGTAGAAAAATGCGACAATCTATCGTACGAAGCGACTATTCAGGTTAGGAAAACGAATTTTCTTTACTTGAATAGTTATTAGAACTGCGTAACGTAAATATCACCTAAGTGTCGCCATGTATTATCTTATTATCCAATGTTAAACACAAGGATAAAATAATACATGGAAGCATTTGCGTAATGTTTCTGAACATAGCCCAACTCTAACATTTAACAATTCGCTTCATATCACGTTTTTTTGCCGAATTCTTTCATTTCGTGTCAAATAAATATATTTTTATCAAGTTTTGTGGTGATACCCATATTCTAAATAATTATCACAATAAAAAATAAATAAATAAATAAAAATTTCTTATCAATAAAATTTGTTGCGTACGATTTTATCTCATTTAACTCTGATTATTTTTATTTCCAATTTTATTTATACCGACTTTTCTTTATGATTGCTTGATACATTATACCAATTTAATTATTGTATTATTAAATTATTATTTATTATTATTATTTAATTATTATATTATTTGTTATTATTTGCGATAATTTCATGAAATTTTCAGATGGCTGTTGTACATACATACTTGTGAAATAATCATAGACGAAAAAAGTATTTCGACTCATGTATGTACGGAAGCATATGATCGGTTATTCGTTGATAAATTTTTCATAATTTTTTTTTAATCCATATTCACGTCGTGTTTCAAATAAAGAATCAATCCAAAATCTTTTTTGTTTTTTTTTTTTAAATTTGTACATTCATTAATGCATACAGATGCTATTAGTCAATTTGGCTGTAGTTTCGATTTATTTCTGTTGTATACTGTCGCATCAATTTGACAGGTTCAATTGTAATATCGCTTTTGATATGACATTTTAGACTTTACAGCACTTTACACAACACAATTAATATAATTATTTATATACTTAATATAATTACTAAAAATTTATCGCTGCTAATCCATTTATATGAGCCACATTCGAGATTAGCTACATATGAAATCACATGATTCGCTGAATAGAGTGGATATAAAAAGAATGACGCCAATTAGTCGAAAATCGTCACTATGTGTCCAATATCTATGACACAATTCCTTGTTTTATCCTCTTCTTTTTTTAACGTTATCTTCTTTCTAACTAACAGTTAGGACACTTAATGGCAGAGCCAATCAGCATTACATTGGCACATACATTGGCGCCATTCTTTTTTTACTCACTACTGAATGTGAGTGACGAGCGACACCGCTCGCGAGCATTATTATCCTTGTTTGATAAACAACAAAGATGAAATGATTCCAGTGAGCGTTGTGAACATTAAATGAAACGCAGCCTTTGTCATAGACTGCGTTCCGTCTTATACATGATGCGCATGGTGCAACATTTATCCTTGTTTAATATTTGGTGAATAACAATAAATGATGCATTAAACCGGTTCTACATTAGTTGCAAGCTGATCGCAAATTTGTTACGACAGCCAATATGAAACGTTGATTTCAAAATACAAGCTTCAGATTGGTTGTCGCAATAAACTTGTAATTAATGAATAGAACCGGCTTTATGCGTGAAACAGAACGCATTCATAGTATGATATTTCCTAATCTGAATAATCATCAACTTTAACTTAAGCTTCAAAGTGTAAGAGACCGAAAAAAAATGTCAGGCGCTTCACCAATGCCGGAATTTGATTCGAGGCCTCGAAGTCGTCCATATTTCCTAAGTAACTCATCGCGAAGTCACATAGCCCGACAGAAGGAACTGTCTTCTGACTTCCTCATATAGTAATATCTTACAAAGGTACCTTTTCATGCTGACACTCGACGCTTATGTTTAATGTCAAAATAGATTATATGATTAATATTTTGACGCTGAAAATAAGCATCAAACGTCAGCATGAAAAAACACCTTAAGAGGATCCTAAAGCAAAGCTCGAACTCCGATGAAATCATCAGAGATCACGCCATGCGCCGCACATCGATATGTCTTTTTATATCACAGCAATATCTCACGTAACCTATGGTATACGCAATCACACACACATGTCAATTTTCGTAACAAATTCGCGATAAAACATCTAATTCTAAGAACTCGACGTTGTCGTGTAAACTGTGTATCTGGGAACCACTATTTCGTACAAGTTGTAAAGCTTTCGTATCAAGCAAACATTATTACGACTTAACAACTGCGACGCCATGTTATACTAAAAAAAGGTAAAAAATATATCAATTTTAACATTTTCGATCGATCTCGACATAGACCACTTTTCGGACACATATTAATGTATACTTTAATTCTGGAAAAGGATTTTTGCGCACGCGTGCGAATCGGTGAAAGAAAAAAAAGTATTTTTTATACAAAAATTATATTAATATTACATGCTTACATGATAAAAGGAGACTTTAAGATCCCCTTAAAGGAAACTAGTACGACGGCAGAATTAGATTGATGTTGATAAAACAGGTTTTTAATTTCGAAATAAAATATTACATACGAAATAAAATATTAACCAAAGTCAAGAAAACGTTACATACATTAATTAAAACATTAAATACATTAAGCAAAATCATTAAATAAAACGTACTTTTCTTGCTTTGCTATATCCTATATATCGCATGAATACGAGTTTATGACACTCAAATCGTCCTGAAGACATTTCTTTCTTCAAAATTGAAGATCTCATGATATTCTTATAAATTATTCAAATATGGGAAAGTACTTTTTGTTTGGATATCCTTGCATTCATTTATATGTGATGCATGCGTATATGTACGTGTGTGTGAAGGAAGCGACCCTACAACTGAAAACTAATTTACAATTTTTTGAGGATTTTCATAGCGATTTGTACTTTTTCAAAGATATTTATGTTTTTTCTTTTATTCTGAAAAAGAATTTTTTAGTTTGTATAAGGAAAACAAAATGATTTGAGAAATACGAAATGACACTCCGTTGATAATTTCAATATCCTCTTAATATCTCAGTTCGTGGGGCAGAGCATTACTTACTTTCTGCCAGATTCTTTTGTTTCATGAAAAAACGTAAATCGAATAAGCCTAACTTTATTGATTTAGGAGTTAAATTACAGTTACCGCGATCTTTAATCTACTTACAGTTGATCACAGTAAAACCAAGTTCCCAAAAAAAATGGGAAATTACCGATGAAGGAAAATACGTAATAGAACATGGCAGTCACGAAGCGGCTGTTTATAATGCTATCCCTGATGAAGGGATATCTCAGGCCAAACTTATCAAATCTAGCCCTTATGCTAAAGTAGGTTTTTCTAAGGCAATGGTTATAGGGTGGATCGGGCTTGATAAAAGTGGAAACATTCCTACTGTACGAAAGAAAGTACCGTCCATTATAGATAGCCTTCAGATACATTTGAAGAATCTCACAAATGTCCCGGAAAATCTTAAAGCAGAATATAAGAAGAGAAAGTTATTGCAAGAGGTGTAAGCAAAATAAAACAAGTAAAAGGCAAAATAAAATTACATAACATTTTATTTTTAAAATTTTTCTTCTCATAATGGCAGGATGATAAAAATTATGCATCTTGAAAAGGGACCAAATTTTTCTACAAAGATAGAAAAGTTAGAAACAGACTTGACATCAAATTTATTGGTAAATGGTGCTTGGAAAGATAAAAAATTTAAACCATACAATTTTGACGCTCTAGGTGCATCACTTCAAATAGGACATTTACATCCATTGTTAAAAGTTCGTCATGAATTCAGGAAAATCTTCTTGGAAATGGGGTAAACAACATCAATTTTTCTTTTCAAGATTTTTACTATTTTTAAAATCTCGAAAATTGTATATATTTTAATGTTATATTGATTTTTGTTTATCACAAAAATTGTTCTATTTTAGATTTACTGAAATGCCATCAAATAATTACATAGAAAGTTCTTTTTGGAATTTTGACGCTCTTTTCCAGCCGCAGCAACATCCTGCTCGTGATGCTCATGATACTTTTTTCATCTCTGGTACTTTATTTTATATTAATGTATGAATGCTTAAAAGACATTGACAAAAAAATTAGTTTTATCTTTTAGAACCTTGTCTTAGCACAAAGTTCCCTATGGAATATTTGGAAAGAGTGAGGACTGTTCACAGTAAAGGAGCATATGGATCTCAAGGTTATAGATATGATTGGAAGTTGGAAGAGGCACAAAAAAATTTGCTGCGCACTCATACAACATCCAATAGTGCACGAATGTTATATAAACTTATGGAGAAAGTAAGTAATCGACGGAGAAGTAAGTATATATAAATTACTTTTCTAAGGGCGAGACAAAATTAAAAAAATTATTTTGCAGGGAGATTTTAAGCCGATCAAGTACTTCAGTATTGATAGAGTATTTCGCAATGAAACTTTAGATGCGACACATCTTGCTGAATTTCATCAAGTTGAAGGTGTCGTTGCCGATTACAATCTTACACTGGGTAATCTTATTGGCATATTATATGAATTCTTTAGTAAACTTGGTATTACTCAACTTCGATTCAAACCTGCATATAATCCGTACACTGAGCCGAGTATGGAAATATTCTGTTTTCATAATGGATTAGAGAAATGGATAGAAATTGGTAATAGCGGTATGTTTAGACCTGAAATGTTATTGCCAATGAATCTACCTCCTGATGTAAATATCATTGCATGGGGTTTGTCATTAGAAAGGTATGTGTGAGAATAGATTTAACGAATCATAATTCAATATAAAAATGTAATGTACTTAATTTTTTTGACTTTAGGCCAACAATGATTAAATATGGTTTAAACAATATACGCGATCTTGTTGGACCAAAAGTGGACATGGAAATGGTTCATAACAATCCATTATGTCGATTAGAGAAGTAAATATCATTCTAAACATTATTAAGGTATTTATGTTAGATTATATCTTTTTGGAAGTAAAATTAGGTAAAAAAAATACATTTATAAATTATAAAACATGAAATTTAACAATTCTAGTTAAATGATATTATATCATTTACATGTATGTTAATGTTGCAGTTGTGGAAGGGTGTCGTTTAATAAAGAAGGTTTCACAAATTAAAAAATATATTACTCTTATTCAACTTTATATACCAACATGTACAGAGATATCTTTAGGTACTTATGATATTTATTGTAGCGCCCTGCAGCGCGTGCGTGCGTGCGCACGTGAGCGTATGTTAGTGTCTTATATTTCTTTCTCGAAGTCCTCAAAATTGGAGTCGGTTCCAAAAAGCTGGCGTGTCAGCTGCGAGTTGATTCTCCTTCGTCCTGATGCCCTCGATCATATGGGAGTTACTAGCAGAAGGCAAATCGGCGGCCCAATTCCCCACTCCCATAATTCCTTAGACAGCGGTCGTCTGCTTATTGATGCCGGGTCATCATCGCGAATCTTTGACGGGGGTATTCTCTCGCGGAAACTTTATCGATAAACATCTACGGAAGAAGAATATCCGGATCGAGCGGCTTTTCTGTCTTCTCCGTCGGTAGTCCTTCTAGTATGTGAGAAGGACTGGACGACAACACTTCCGTGGCAGCTAGTAAACCTCTAATTGCCAGGAAGTAGATACCACAGAGGGGCCCACCGAATGGGGCTCGTTCTGCTTGAGACCCGAGGGTGAGATAACGAGTTTGCTTCGCGAGGAAATGCAAAGGCCCGAGAGTGAGCTCGCTTTATGAAGTGAAATGCAAAGACCTTTGAAAGAAAGAGCTCGCTTTGCGAGATAGCGTGAAGGCTCGAAAAGTTCACTTGATCAGGTTAATATCATCATCTTATTATTAATTCATCATCATATTATTAATGTGATCTAATATTAGAGTAGAGGCCCTTATCGAGCTCACTCTAACTCTAGTGAGAAGATCCTGAAAACTTCCCGCAGAGCCCTACTTCTATGAATAGTGAACCATTCTTCGCACTTGTTGTTGCTATAACGCGTGGCCCTCTCGCAGCGGCGATCGGGACTCGCGCCGGGCGGGCGTTCGGTTAGCGTTAAGTGCGGCACCGATCTCAGGAACGGCACGGATCGCACACGCATCTCGACGACTCGATTAGTGATGTTTTAAGCCGCCATGACCTCCTTGGTTGTTTTAAAGTCCTTCAAAATGGAAGAACGTGATACTCGTTCGCTTCTTGTCTTTTGCCCCGTTGGCTGCTCTGGAGTTTATGGTATTTTGATTTGCTTCAGTTCTTCTTGTTCCAGCGTGTAGGCTGGCTTTAGCTTATCTAATGACACGGATCGTCCATTAATTCGTATCTTGAATATTTTCTTGCTTCTGCTGAGAACTTGATAAGATCCGTGGTGTTTGTAAGGATCCGTTGGAGCATCGTATGACAAAGACTTGTTGTATTATAACTTTTTATATATAAAAGTAGCTTTCTCTTCGTATCTTCTGAGTTTCGGTTGTAGTCTTTCATTGTCCTTCTCAGACATTTTGTAAAATCGTCTAAATTGTCCATTTTATTGTTGATTTCGTTGAGGAATTGTCCGGATAATCGGATTGCTTCCCCATATATTATTTCAGCCGGTGTAGCTTGCAGATCTTCCTTCCAGCAACTCTGCCCATTTTTCTGTTTGGTGACTTTTAATGGCTGCTTTTAATTGTCAATGGAATCTTTCTATCATTCCATTTGCTGCTGAGTGACATGCTGTGGTGTGAAGGTGCGCTATCAACTTTGCCAGTTTTTTGAAAAGCTCGGATTTGAACTGTCGTCCTTGATCGGTAGTTATCCGTGCTGACGTTCCAAATCTTGCTATTCACTTTGTGAATAATTCTCTTGCTGCCATTTCTGCTGTGATATCTTGGATGAGTATTGCCTCTGGCCATCTCGAAAGTCGATCGATTATTGTAAAGCAATATTTGTATCCCAGGAAAGTTGGCATAGGTCCTATGATATCCACGTGAATGTGTTGAAATCATCTATTGGTTCTAGGAAATTTCCTATTGGTGTCATCATATCTGAATACCTTGACTTTCTGGCATTGTAGACAGGCTTATGCCCATACACGACAGTCATTGTATGTTTGCCATACGTATTTTTGTTTTATTAATTTTATAGTGGCTTTTATTTCTGGATGTGATTTAACTATGTAGGGCTTAAAAAACCTGCTCTTTGAATGCTTTTGTCACGTAAGGGCATGCAACTGTTGACATTACATCGCTATATAGTGTCATTGTGCCAGGAATTTTAATTTCCTTTAATTTTAGGGACAACTGCTGCCGTCTAAGATTTACTTTAATTCTATGTTCGTTCGTTGCGATTTTGTCAACTCTTCGAAATCCGATGCCTTTTGTATGGCTTCCACTCGAGATGTATCTATGATGTTGTCCTTTCCGGTCATATATTGGATATCTGTAGAGAATTGTCCGAAGTCTAAGTGACAGACTTGTCTCAAAGAGCTGCGCAGTAAGTCTTGCGAAAGGCGTCATCAGTGTCCATGTAGATTGTGAACTTCAGCTCTTCCAAATGTCGGAAATGTTTGACCGCTGTATAAATTGTCAAGAGTTCTTGATCATAAGGGCTATATTTTGTTTGCGCTCTATTCAATTTCTTGCTCATGAATACTAGCGGTTGCATTCCCATTTATTTCCTACTGCACCCGAGTGCTATCCAAAACGTCAGTGGTTAGCGTAATTGTAGCTTCTTGTGTAGCTTTTGCAGACAAGAGTGTAGCTTTTGCAGACTGTTTTTGCAATTTTGAAAAGCTTGTTCTAGTTGTGACGTCCATTCTACGAGAATTTTTCCTTTCATTCTGGTCCTCGTAGAACATCGTATAATATTGCTCCTTTGCTGTTCTAGGTACAAATCTTCTGTAAAAGTTTATTGTGTATCCCCAATTGCCTTAATTGTTAAATGGTTTCAGGTTTCTTAAAATCTTGTATGGTTTACATTTTTTCAGAGCAAATGGATCTCTTCTGCTGACACCAAGTATCCTAAATTTTACTTGTGTAGTCCCGAAAATACTTTGGCCGGGTTTAACTGTATGCCGTATGCATCGAGGTAAATACTTCTTCCAAAGTTTTGAGTGTTCTTCCTTCGTGCTGGAAGGATATCGTCAATATATGCGTAGGAAAAATATAAGCCCTGTAAACCGTTAATAAATCTCTAGAAAGTTTGCGCTGCATTTCACAAACCAAACAGCATGCATCGGAACTCAAAAAGTCGAACGGTGTGATGATTGCAATTTTAGGGATGTCTTCCGGATACACTGGAATTTGATTGTACATTCGTACCAAATCCAGAGTAGACAAAACGGTTTTTTCGTTCAGAGAGTGCGTAAAATCCTCTATATGGGGTACTGATCAGGTACCGTTCTAAGTTGAGTTTTCTGTAATCTTCGCATGGTCTCCAGGTGCTTTCTTTTTTGGGAAATGTAATGATGAGGCCCATGGGCTTTTGAAGAATTAGATAATCCCTTCTTCTAGAAGAAGATAAATTCCGCCTTTGCCGCCTTTAATTTGTCCGACGCTAGTCTGTGCGGTCATGTTTCTGGTGGACCAGTTATAGTTTTAATATAATGCATGGTTGAATGTGACCATTGCTGTTGGTGCCTCCCCGAGGTTTGCGTAATCCTGGAGAACCGCGCCAATAAATGATGGTAGGCAGTGCTTTCTATCATAGATTTTACGAACGAGAGCTCTTGTCTGTTCGTCCCGTTGGTCTTAAATTTCATTTTCGCATCCATCAGTTGCTCTTGCCTCATGTCCGGTAAGAGATGAAAATATGCGAGGAAATTGGATCCTATTATAGATGTGGTCATGTCTGCCATAAAACGCCAAGGAAAAATACGGCGTAGCCCTAGGTTAGGTCGCAGGGCAAGATCCCCGTATGTCTATGATAGATCCATTTGCGATGAAGAGTATATTTAAACTATTATAAGTGGTCATCGCCCTTGAACTAATGTCCATGGGTAAACACTGACGTCAGATCTGGTGTCAATGAAGTATCGCGTTTTAGTTATGCGGGCGAGCGATTCAGGAGCGGCGCAGATTGCGCGCGCGCCCTGGCGATGGTGATGTTTCAAGCCATTAACAGTAGTTAAATCTGAAAATTTTTTCTAACATCCGATCAATTCAGGTTATTATTTCTGTTTACAGAACTAGCCGAATGATATGTTCACGATGGAGAATACAGCAAGAAGAAAAGCCGGTAAAAACACAGTCAAATCAAGAACCAAAAATCAAGCAGGTGGCAAAGTTGTCAAAAAAGCCCAAGTTTTTTAAACAGGAACTTGTTATCTTTTGCGATCCAAAACATCCAATTTATTTTATTGAACCATTTTTGCAATTCATATCACCGTACTTTCATGTTTCTATGTCAACATACATTCACTCTACAGTGGCAAACTTACCTGATGAGCTTGCTAGCTTTGGTTTGCTTCATTTCAGCAAAAACACAAATGTGGATCTATCTTTAACTATAATTTGGAAAACTATTGGACTCGATCCCATTATGGTGTTGCCAAGAATGCATAAAATTTTGGGAATGGTAAATATAGCACGGTATTTAAATCGTTTAATTGAACAGGTTGACACGAATATATTAAAATATGAAACAAATGGCTTACTTTATGCAAGTAAGATAGATCTTTATTTAGATAAAATACATTGTGTTTTACATGACACGGACAGTAGATCACTGAAATTATGTAAAAAATTACATTATATAATGGGAAAAGATATCTCGATAATCGATTTTATTCTTAAGTATATTGATAGATATGGGATAAAAAAGAAAAGTTAATTAATTAAATCTTATTTATTTTGTGAATAAAAATAAAGTACGGCAAAGCTAAAAAAGAGACATTTATTTAAGTATATATATGTCTTATTGAAATAAAATAAAATAGTAATATTTTTTTAATAAAACTAAAAATAAACGTAAGTGCTTATATGTATCTTCGCGGATGTTGATGCATAAATTATATTCGCGAAATATACAATTCACAATCTTTCATTGTAGTTTATACTTTATTTCCATACTAAAAAGAATTTAAATCCGAGAATCGATTGTAAAAAAGGTATTTATAATCTGATTTCGTCCTGTTTTACCATGATTATATTTTAGGAGAAATCTCCGAATTGGTTTCATTGCAAAATTTTTTTTTACAAGATTAAAAAATACACAAAAAAATCCCGTCAACACGATTTCACGAGAAAATTGGAAAAAATTTTTAAATTTACTTTGTGGCACTGTGTACAACTGTCATCTGAAGTTAACATTAGCTTGATATAAAAGTTTTACAGCTTGTAGATTAAAAATAAGCGTAAAATGGGATCTAGAATTTGAACGAATACTGAATTTGTGGAATTACGATTCAAACAAAAATACGATGTAAACAAAAATATTTATCCTAAAACGAAATTACGTAATATGCAAGGACTTATCTTTTTCCTCTTTTACAGATTTGTAAATGTAGTTTTTGTAATTTGAAAATCCTTTTTCAGGATTAAAATATACACATTAATACGTATCTGTGAGGTGAAATTTATGCCGAAAACGATAAAAAATTTTTCAAAAGGATCCTAAAGTGAAACC